AGACAGACAGACAGACAGAAATAGGGGGGCGGGGGCGGGGTGGAAGTCTAGAAACGTAAAATTGCAAGGCATGAAAAAAAACAAGACCTTGGAACTTCAGTGAAGAGCATTTCAGGAAAACAAACCAAAACACAAACTTGAAATGAATATCAAGTCCATATCATATTTATTTTTCATTATCCGCAAAAAAAAACGTAACATGAAAAAAGGTCAATAATTTCACCACAACAGAGAAAACAAAAAAAATAACAACAATAAACGAGCAAAAATAACAATAAAACCATGTCGATATCAGGTGAGCTGTTTCTGAGAGAAACTGTAGCCGTATATATGTATATTCACAGAAAATATTTTAAAAATATATCAACAAGTCATTACATAATATGGCCGTGAGAGGACAAAAACCAACAACCCCCCCAAAAAAACAACAACAACAACAACAAAAACCTCGCTATCATGAAGGCTACGAAATTAACAACACATTCCAATCTTCTTACTATACTCAAAAGTGAGGGCTAGGCAACACAGCAGTAATTTTTGCTTGACTTGGCAGCTTATGAAGAAAGTTCCATCTTCTATAACTTTACATCAGATATTGATGGACAATATATATAATATATATATTTTTTGGTTCATGTATTGAGTCAGTAAGTTGGAGATTTTGTTATTCTCTGTTGGGAGATTTAGAACGCATCTGAATGAAAAGGTAGACGCTGTTTGAGAATTAGTTCTCACGTTTGATTCCAAGCGTTGGCTCCGAAAACATGATTCTTTCTAGATGGATGGATGGATGGATGTATGGATGGATGGATGGATGGATGGATGGATGGGTGGATGGGTAGATGGGTAGATGGGTGGATGGATGGATGGATGGATGGATGGATGGATGGATGGATGGATGGATGGATGGATGGATGGGTGGATGGGTGGGTGGATGGATGGATGGATGGAGAGAATTATCGTGAGTATGTACTTAAAGGGTTGATACTGCGTTGATAGAGGCAACAGTTATCTGTGTTTAGATGCTGTTTTAGCCTCTAAAAGTAAGAGGGAGGTTGGGGCGGGGTGCACTTAAAGTTTTTGCTACTGAAGTTGACAGCGAGTGATCCAAGAACAAGATGCCACAGGACATTAAATCAAAGTAAAAAAATAATGAGGTTTCTGGTGCTTAAAAAAAAAAGACAAAATTACAGTAATTTAGAAATTATAAAATAACACAAAACAGTGCACTGGGAAATGTGACAGTCGAATCTTACTTTATGAACCGAATCCACCAAATCTTTTAAAAACAATTGAAGACTTACAGGGAAAAAACGACGGTAGTCACACTTTTCCCATTTTGGGAAAAGTGAATTTTACTGTTTGAAAGTCTACAATTTTCAAATTAAAGGCAAACTCTTAATTTTCTTTTAAGATTACCAAAGACAAGCCATATGCCTTTGCACATAACCATTTTGACATATGCGGTATGGCATTTTGTACCATATTTGTGCTTCCAAAGCTAACAGGGTACTTCTGGACAACTGTCACTTTTCCCTGGGAGCGATGAGACTAATCACACTGTGCTTGTTTCTAATGAGCAGAAATAAGGAAATCATACTGTAAGTAACAGCAAAGGACAGTGAGCCATAGAAACAACAAATCCTTTCTTAAATTGACTCATTTTATTATGTATTTCAACAAATTTATTTGAAAAATTCTTTTGCGAACAATGCACTCCGACTGTATTAGAACAACAGGTCCAGTACCAGGGCATGTAAACTAATAAGGGCAGTAATACTAACATTGTCATACAACACTGTAACAATAAAAATCAGAGGTATTAAAGAAAAAGGGACATTTTCAATGAATTTATAGAGAAATAAGAAAAAAAAACATATAGTATTGAAAAGACTTAGCTCTTCAAAGTTCAATTTCCCCTAAAAGAACATTCTTTGATCCGCAGCTGCGAGCAGTATTATGATGAAAGATCCCCCTCCCTCTCCCACACACACACTCACTAACACATGAAAGACAAAAATGTCCCCTTTGTCATGAGGCGTTTTGGGATTAGGGGGTGGGATGGGAGGATATGTTACCATGACCAAAACTGAGGTCATTTACGTCATTATAAAAGACGCATAATACATGTAACTGAAAAGACAGTCGAAACACACGTGTAAAATGACAACACGATACATGTATCGCCTAAATGTGCTGCAAACTTGATACAGGCAATATCACGTTTACAACCAGGAAAATACACTCTTTATAAATGACATGATTTTGGGACTTTCGTTTTTTCTGTTGGGCTAATTAAAATCTACCGATGCAAGCCCCACCCCACCAGACGCCACTGGATAAGATAGCTACAACGTACCAGCACGCAGCCGGGGATACACGATTTAGAAAGCCAAAAATAAAAAACCAACAAAAAAACCAAACACCCTGCAAAAGAACCCCCTCCCCCTCCCCCCCCACAAAAAAACAAACCCCGACAACAACGGAAATTACAAAAAAAAATCAAAAAAATCTCTCCCCCCCCCCCCCCTACAAGGGAATCGAACTTCTCTGTGCCTCAGCCAAATGGCCTGACGGTGAAGAGGCGAAAAGAATCGAGGAGTCCATGAGAGAAAACGGGCCAAATTAAAAGCGGAAAAGTGTAAGGGTATCAATTTTGAACCCTCATTGACTCATAACTGTATTTCTGTGAAATTATTGTTTATCATTGTTGTTAGATTTCCAGTTTAAACAAGCATATAAAAAAAACCACCAGTAAAAAAAAAAAATGAAGTTATGAGTCCCCAAACGTTCAAAACGGATACCGTCCCAATTTTTAGTTTGTAACTATGCCCGTTTTTCTCGTGTACTCCTCAACTGTTAAATCCCTAAGTCAAAGATTCATTTTCAAAGTCAAGTCACCAAAAATATTATCAGTTACATCTTTTCGGACAACTAACACCCCCTGTTCTCTCATACAACGTATTAAAAGATCAAAACGGAGTAAAAGACCTGGGCTTCGGACGTGTTACAAATTTTTAATAGAGATATTGGAAGTCGCTTTTACCACCATCCATTAAACTCCTACAGTTTTAACTTATAATAATACATGAATAAGTATTTCTATAACCTTTAAGGCATGTATCATTAGAATACCATCGGGGTTACTGTCAGAATACTGATTGTGTATCTAGGTTAACACTATTATTGTCTACAATTATCGTTCATTCGGGACTATGACAATGGGTGTTTGTGAATGCAAACTTAGTGTTACACATTATAATGTGTATGTGTACTATATACAGATGTGTGTGGAAGAGAGGATGTGGGAAAACGTACATGTACGTGTGTGCGTATGTGTATGTGTGTGTGTGTGAGTGTGTGTGTGTGTGTGTGAGTGTGTGTGAGTGTATTTGTGTGTGTGTGTGTGTGTGTGTGTGTGTGTGTGTGTGTGTGTGTGTGTGTGGTGTGAAACACCAAACCAATGTGCCAGCATGTGGACGACAAAGATTTGTATTATATTATCTATCTTATTTTATCTTATCTTTTCTCATCTTATTTTTCTTATCTTATCTTACCTTATCTTAACTCTTCTTGTCTCATCTCATCTTATCTCCTAGCCTTAAAGGATGCAGAACTAGCTGAAGGTGGACATGTAACGAAGTTGAACCAAATCAGACATGTTCTGTACATTTAGGTCACAGATTTTCAGTCTGGGCAATACCACCCGCTTGTGGGCAATTTGGTAATATGGTCTGCTGCGAAAATCTCACAGGGAAATACATTGTCCATGTAGGTGGGGGGCTACGGAAATTTTAATGTCTTAAAAGTAGCAAAAGTGGGCGTTGGCGATCAAAAAGCAGTTGTCGAGCGCTGGTGTAGATGGTTTCAAATCACAGATCAAGAAACTGTCGGCCTTTTTGAGAACTATCTACTGAATAGATTTATATTTGAGTCCAGGACATTTCCAGATCTGAGTACGTTATCTTATTCCTTGAAAATGTCTGCTAAAGACTTCAATATCCCAAGCCTTGCTGTTGACAGACACAATTCAATCACAGAAGACAGCAAATCACAATATGAGTATTCATGATTTAGAAATGTGGTTGTCAAGAGAACCCACTAGCTGTGCACAGACACAGCAGGAGGTGCGGTTGAGGTAAAACTACTGTTTTAGTCAGCGTTTTACGACATGTGCAACACAATAAGGTCAAATAAGAACCGAAGATCAGAGGTGTAACAAGAGAGTAACAAACACAAAAAGAGAATTGGAGGAGAGATCAGGATGACGGATGTATGATAGGAAAGAAGGAGCAAACTACACCAAAGCACCCGCAAATCACCGGCAGATAAATTGATTTGATATTTACAGGCACGACAAAAAGTAATTTGAAAGCCTCAGTAGTGCTACCATTATTATTTTTGCCAAAATGGACACATAATCGCTTCCATTTTCAGTCGACGAATCTATCACTGGTTAGTGTATAGGTTTAAAACCCCTCTCAACTCTTTAGAGTTATATAAGAGGTGGGACCTCCGAATGTAACTTTTATCACTGATATGACCGAGCCAAATGGGTAGTGAGCCCTAAAAAATAAAACCAAACGATAAAAAACTCCCCCAAAACAACCTAAGTTCAAGACGTTCCGCTGAGGTTTCAAACCAGGGACATCCGCTCCATAGTCCAGCATGATGCCAACTAAGTTAATGTTGCGACCAACGAATCTGCAGAAATAATTAGTTGCAAGTAGCCTGAATTCAGCGCGCATTCTATGCTACTCCTTTGGAATCTCCGCTTTCTCCTTCTCTGAGGGAGCACATGCGACGGGCGAGTGTACCTCGCACAACACTTTACTAGACGTCTTCATCATACCGCCCATAGATGTTTGGCTGAGGAACATGTCCCGCCTGTAGTTGCACACTACCGTGCGTAGCTCCACCAACACCGACACTATGTCTGTGAACATCTTCCGCCATTTTGGGTTGTCGGCGTTCCGTGAGCAAGCGTTCGGGACTGACAGGCGAGAGTCGTTTGGCGCCTTCCGGAGTTCATGTAGCAGACAGCGCACGTATACGTCATTGAGGTCTTCCACACTTCTTCTGTCCTCTAGGGTGGCGAGGTCCGCACTGGTGATCACGATGATCTACAAAAACAAAGGGGGGGGGGGGGGGGGGGGAGATATACACTTGAGCATATACACTTGGGCATTGATGACTCAAATACGTCGGGGACAGACCGATTCGGTACCTTATGATGAAAACGTTCTATCTGGTCAGTACTTAGTTCTGACAAATTTGACGGAAAAAGTTTTGAGTCTCACAATGCCAAGCTTTTTCGAATGCATGCAATTACATGTATTTGAATATCTTGATAATGAAACCGAATATTCTTACCATTTTGATGGAGCAGACATTGCATTTGCATTCTAACCTTATGTTTTTAGTAACTTACAACGGCCAAAACAGATCTAGAACGTTGTAATTCTCAGGTAGCGAAATGTATTGGACTCACCTGTAATTTGGGTTAACATAAAATAACGAAAATTTAAAGAGGTATCAGTCGGTGAATGGAAAATTGTACGAGCTATCCGTCATTTCCAGTTCTACGTGTTCTTGATATCTGTACCCGACTATATTTCTTTAAAATTTTGGCTCAATTCAGAAATTAATTGGGAGGCTGGTTTCGACAGCCCAATCCTGACTGAGAGTGTAACACTTGCGGTAAAGGTATGGCCTGGAAGTTTGTTTTACAATGGCGTGCATAAACACGTTCTTCAAGCCTTGCTGAAATCATTCCACAAGGCACTGTACAGGGAGGACGAAGTAGAGGCAGACAGAAAAAGAGATGACACGACAACAACTGAGAATAGACAGCCATGGAGCAGCGGGACACACCAAGGAAAGCAGAGAGCCAGGAGGAGTGAAGGGGTGGAGGAGATTTGTTGTAATCTGTTAGAGGCGATCCAATGGATGATAAATCAAGCACAAGAAGAATACACAAATAAATAAAAACACACCAATACATAAATGCATTAATTATGATACACAACATCACACAAAAAAGGAAATGCACACACAACGTTGTCACTGTGCAACGCCCAGTTTTTTTTCTTCTTAAACTAGAGGTAAGGGCACATCCACCTAAAGCCAGTGTCACCGGCACACTCACTTGACATCAGTGTGCGCCTCAGCTCACAAACAACTCGGCCACAGTAACCCCCTACAAATGCAACTTTGAACCTGCAGTAAACGGCGAGCGCTAACTTTTTTCGAGAATGGAAAAGAAAACCAATGGCTCAATTTTGGTGAATTTTACAACGATCACAACGATCGAAACATCACATTTAATACATTCTTTATGCTCAAAATCATGAAAATTTAGTTCCGTCTATTTGATAAGAATATTTAAATCCACCTTCGTTTAAATCTGAAGATCTTTTTTTTGTATTAGTCAAAAGTTTTACGATATTTGCAACAAAATATGGTCATATAAGTGCCGAAGTTAAGAGGTGTTACAAGAGAGTAACATACACAACAAGAATGAGCGGAGATAAGGACGATAGACAGATGTCTGACAGGAAAGAAGGAGCAAATCACACCAGAGCACTCATCTATCACCGTCAAGGGTTACGCTCTGAAGAGTGTGTAGTTTCCTTTAAAGAAGTGACGCAAAGGTACGCACCACCAGAATTATATTTTCATAACGTTATCGATCTATACATGTCACGACGCGGTGGAATCAGGCTCTCGTAAATTTTCGGGTGCATGGAGTCAAACTTAAAGTCTATTTATTTGTCTTGCTTTTGGCGGGCAAAATACCCCTCTATCTAGAATAGAAGTCGACATTATTGTGATTGAAAGAGGTGGGGGTCGCCTGATCTCTGAGGTGAAATTAGCAAGAAAATGGCCGTCAAAGCTTGGGTGTCATTGAAGACTGCTAACCTACGTTTATTTGTGCCTTTGATCAATGTTTCTCTGTAAAATCCACACAAAAATATGTTTTTTTAAAAACAAAAAAAGGCATACAAGGTGTTGAACCAAAAAACCCCCGAAAATTGAAAAAAATTGCACAAGGGGGAGAAACAAGCAGGTTTTTTCGATTACCTTATTTTGAAGAGCACCTGATTTCACCATGATGCCTCACATATACGCTATAGGTGTATATATAGATAATAATAGTATGCTCACCTTGAGGAGCATAACGACAGTGTCGGAAGGCCTCATCCTCTTGAGCCTGTCTGTGAGCAGGAACACCTTCTCGGCGTAGTCGGGACTGAACAGCTCTGCCCACTCGTCAAAATGGTACGTCTGACCACTCACTTTGGTGGTCACTCGCAGGGAGCTGTCAAAACCTGGTGAGGGATGGAATAATGAGTGATGAAAGGATGAGGAATGGAAGGATGAGGAACGGAGGAATGTTGGGGGTGAATATCAATGGTGAAAAGGCTGAAGGATAGATAAGTTACAGGTTAGAAATAATGACGGTTCAAATCGATGTTGTAGTTAAAGAAATCAGTTTCTTTGTTGTGAAATATGTAGACGATTTCAGTCATGCCTTTGTAGGAATTCGACCATTTAATTCATGCGATACCACCATTCCCCCCCCCCAAAAAAAAGATAGAAAACGAAAACTTAGACAGAAACAAAAAAACAAAACAAAAAAACGAAACAGAACAAAAACATCCCCCAACAAATTTACAAAACGGAATGAAATTGATGCATACATCTTACATTTAGAAAAAGGATTATAATAAAACCCTTATTTATTTCTCTTGTCGCAGGTAATTATAATGCGTCCAAAATCAGTCAAGGAGACAGATTAAGCCAAAACCATCAGGCTACTGCGTTGAGCTTTATAATTATGAACATGCAAAGAACAATATTATTCTCAAAGATTTTATATAATCTCCCCCCCCCCACCCCCCAACAAACAAAAAATAAATAAATAAATAATTTTTTTTTTTAATCATAGAAATCTTCAATTGAGATAGTGTTCAGTGAATGAATTTCCCTTCTCAGTGTTCAACCTTAGATCTTTGTATCCTGCATATCAGTATGATTTATATATGCCAATCTTTTAATGGTCTATTGGGAATAAGGAATACGTTTTCCTCTTTTCTTTCTTGTGTGTGTGTGTGCGTGTGTGTGCGGTGCGTGTGTGTGTGTGTGTGTGTGTGTGTGTGTGTGTGTGTGTGTGTGTGTGTGTGTGTGTGTGTGTGTGTGTGTGAGAGAGAGAGAGAGAGAGAGAGAGAGAGAGAGAGAGAGAGAGAGAGAGAGAGAGAGAGAGAGAGAGAGAAAGTATTTGTATAACTTTTTACTTTTTAAGACAATAGAAAATGACAATACATGTACACTGTACTTGGCTTCCTAAGAACGCTAACCAAAATCTAGAAGAAAACCTGCCAAATTAAGGAGAAAACCCAGCAAAATTAAAAGAAAATAAGCCAAACCAAAGAATCTCTCACCTTTGTAGTCGTTGAGGATGTACCACTGCGGTATGCAGGTCTTTATCAAGGACATCTGGTCCCGCAAATTGAGCTTGTGAAAACCAGGGATCTCTTTCAGCAAGTGAATGAACTCAATGGTCCACGACTCCCAACTTTTCATGCAAACTTTGGAAATAGCCGGCTTATTTCTGACCGAGTCTTCATCTTGTTCGCCATTATCGCTGTACTGAGAGTCTACAACGGTTTGAAAGCTACACGCATTGCCCAAGTTGTCTGGGGTCTCTGAGACACATTTTAAGGGAGGCTGAATTACTTGTTTGTTGAGGTCGATGCCCTTTGTGTGTGGCTTGCGTTTCTTTCGATCACTGTAGTACTTATGAAACTCCAACTGTTTTCTCGCAAGTTCGTCTTCTTCAAAATCCACTTCCAGATGCTTGTATTTGCAGAACACACCTCTGACCTTCTGAATCAGTTTCTCTAGAAACAAATCATCGCCGGAGAATCCATTCGCTTCCTGAATCTGAATAATCTCTAAAGCGTCCATGGTCTTTTTCTTGTGAGAATACCGACCAGTCTTGATTCTGTTCCTTGACATACCGGCTCTGATACATCTTTGATGACGACAGTATGTACATACATTCCGCCTAGAACCACTGACGTCACAGTCTTTCTGCCTTGCACATGCGTAGTTTTTGTTGAACTTGAGAGTTCGGCGGAAGAATTCGTTGCAAGCTTCACAGGAATTCACGCCAAAATGGACACCGGAAGCTTTATCCCCGCAGATTCTGCAAGGAGGAAGTTTGTGCTCTTTTGCCTGAGAGTTTGTTTTTTTCACCACACGTTGAGGGCCATGAGTCAGTGGGTAAGAGGACTCAACATAGCTGATCGGGGAATGGTCTTCAAAACCCTTTATACAATATTTAGACGCCTGTTTGACGGCCTGGTCTATCTGCTTTCCGCCAGTTCCAGAATATTTTTTTTGGCGTTTATCAGCGCAAACCTTCGTCATCGGCGATGTGGCTTTCCTCTTTTTCCTCACATTCGTCTTTTCATCACCTCCTGTCACAGCCTCTTGTGAAGAAAAACTTCGCTTTTGTGGCACCATTTTGTGTTTGTACGACTCTGTACAAATGTCATTATCTGTTGCGTTTGTCTGTAGGTGGGAGAAACTGTCTAACGAGATGTGCCAACCTTGGATGTCAGACTCACCGCTCACGGTCGTCTCGGTCTCCCCGCTAGGAGGCACACCCAGAACTTTCTCCAGGACCTTGACGTTTGGGTTTTCGCATCCTGCATTGAGGGCGTTCTCTGTGTGAAAGTTTGTGGAGTGTATTCGTGCCACAGGTCGCAGTGTCGTGTATTCAGGAGAATCGATGCCTTTGATGGATTCGATGTCAGGGGAGGAAACGTGTTCTCCTCTGCTGATCTTGTAACTGCCTTCATCGGAAATAACTCCAGTTGTATTGCTCATTTCTGACTGAGGAGATAAAGAGGAGTAGAAAGAAAGACATGAAGAATTGAAGGAGGGATTGACAACAGAGGAGGAGGGAGTGGGGGAGGAGGAGGAGGAAATGGACGACGTGGGGGAAAAAGAAACTGAAGAGCAGTTTCTCTGCTGCTTCATTGAGCTGACCAGGAATTCCTGAGCCACTGACGGACGAGGCTCGCCTGTCGGGTGGTTCTCAGCCTGGCAGGACGCCATGTTGTTCTGGCTGTTCTCAGAGCCGGACTCATCCTGGTCTCGATTTTGTCCCCTCTCACAGACGTCTGAGTGCATCATGGGGACACACCCAGCTCCTCGCCAACCCTCTGCCCGACCGCTGACTCCGCGGGTTCGTGGCGGTTGCTGCACAAATGTCGAGGAAAGGAACGAGCCAGGGCTGGGATTCGAACAGCTGTTGTGGGCAACTATTTCTTTACCGTTGTCCAATCCGTTCTGGGATTCCTCACTTTGATCATTTCCGACCTGTGACCTATTGAAGAGACTCGAGAGCCCTCTATGTTCTGTTGATATGCCAACAGGCACTGTTATGATCTCTGGCGGCGACGGCAGACCGTGCGATGACGTCACTGGGTATGACAACGTCACCGGACGCGATGACGTCTCAGTGCAGATCGGAGTATCCTGACCTCTTCCCCCCACGACAGTTGTGCTGGTTGCGACGTCATTCACGTCTCCGAATTTCAGAACGTCGTGAGCAACGTTTTGCAAGGCTGCACCAAGAGATGACGGATGTTGCCAGGACATAAGCTTACGCGCTACTTGAGACAGGTGTTGACAGCTTTTCCTGCAATTTCTCGAACTATCACTTTGCTGGTGTTGGTCGTCTACAGAGAAGATTTGGAGAAGCTGCGGGTGGTATTTTCGCTTCTTCTGTTGGTTTTCAGGACGTACATTCGATTCCTGTTGCTGTTGTTGTTGTTGTTGTTGTTGTTGTTGTTGTTGTTGTTGTTGTTGTTGTTGTTGCGGTCGTTGTTGCCGCCGCTGATAATGAAGAGAATGGGGATGTTGTTGTGTTTGTTTTTGGAGCTGCTGCTGATGATTGTGTTGATGAAGAGGAAGGTATTGTTGTTGCTGTTCTTTGTATCGTCGCTGTTGGAGTCCATGGCTATGCTGCTGCTGCTGCTGCTGCTGCTGTTGTTGTTGCTGTTGCTGTTGTTGATGTTGTTGTTGTTGCAAGTGTTGTTGTGTCTGGCCAGTGTTTCCACGGTAGTTCATAGACTGATGATGGTGATGATGGTGGTGGTGATGATGTTGCTGTTGCTGCTGGCAACTGGGAAAAACCTCCTGGCCAGAGAACGAAACAAAGTTGTCCGAGGCCGCCAACACATCAAAAGGAAAGTTGGCGTCAGAGATTGCAGGGAGTGGCGCGGACGAGGATACAGCCGCGATAAAATCATCAACCTCTTTGGAAAAATCTCCTATGACTGGCGACACGTCAAAGGTCTTTCCAACACTACTGTGGGGACTACCGTGCAGAATACCAGCATCTGCTTGTCTTTGACACAGCTTGGGCTCAGCACCACCACCAGAGTTTGACGTGCTTGTAGGTCCAATTCCTGAAATTTCCATAACTCCAGTCGGTGTTTTACTGTTTTGCCAACCGAAGGAAGTCATGCTATCTCCCCTGGTCTCTGTACCTGTAAAGTCTTCTCCATCGGACAAGCAATACGCCCTGAGAACCTCAGACATAATGAGGCTTTCAGACATGTTCTCGCCTAGACTTTCTGGGTCAGCTGTTGGCCTTGACACGTGGTCGCGACTTGTCCCGTCAACCACAGATCCGGACTTTTGTCCTGTGAACAATCTTATCTTTCCACTCTCTCCTAGCTCAAGGCTAGAACCCTTCATGATCCATAAGTGCTCAGTCACGTCACGTATCACACGCGCAAGCGTTCTTCTTTGCTCACGAGGCGAAAAGAAGGCGTCTTCGGAGAAACTCAAGATATGAACATGATCCACTGAAGAAAAGGCGAAACTGAAGAAAAAAACTGGTACTCACTCGCACGCACAGGGCGGACAGCAGCAATCTATTGGTTCACCGGCGTTTTGAGCGCGCGTTTCGATCCATAACTTTCCCCGCTCGCTCAGCAACACAAAGAGTCGGCGAAACCAGAGGAATATGCGGGAGTGTGAGAAAGTACTGTCAACACCTAGGACTTAAAGTGCAGCAATGACCTTCGCTTGTAACAGCTTCTTTGGTAGGTTTTTCTAACCGTTCCAGCCAATAAAACCAATAACTGACTATGATGTAAAGTAAGAGTGCGTTAGACACAACAAATCGATGCAGCGCCTGCAATAGTAATTAGGTAGAACCAGATCATCCATTAAACTCCTGGTGCAGAGAAGTAACATCCAACGCTTTTAGATCTTCTTTTCCTGTTCTACTTTTCCTTTCTGGTGGGACTAATGAAGCAACTTGGGTTTATTTGTATGTTCCTCGTGAAGATCATAGACCTTGAACAGTCAGGGGCGTGGAAACTGGGCTGAATTCCTGGGGTGGGAGAAGACGAGAAAGTAAGCTTAAAACCTGTGTCATTGAAGAGACGTTAATAACGTAATATTCTTCTCCGTCTCCACACCCCCATCCTCCTCCCCCTCCTCCATCTTCTTCATTTTCTTCTTCTTCTTCTTCTTCTTCTTCTTCTTCTTCTTCTTCTTCTTCTTCTTCTCCCCCTCCTTCTCCTTCTCCTTCTCCCTCTTCTTCATCATCATCATCATCATCATCATCAACAGTAAGCCTACTAACGTACTCCCAACCTCTCTTTGGGCATTTAGAATCTAAACTTCCCTAAGTCCTGAGTCGCCACCCCGCCCATGTACAAAAGTTTTAGTAAGAATTTTACCGCACTTGCAACACAAGTAGACCAAGGCCACAAAAAGAAGCGGAGGAGAGATAAGGAACAATAATATAATAGTACACATATTCGATAGCAAAGAAGGAGCAAACCATACTAGAGCACCCGCTAGCCACCCACACCATCGCACAGCGGATCTACATGACAAGAACGAAAAAAACCAAAAGACACCCAAAACCCGGAAGAAACATTAACTGCGACGTTGTATATATTGGGAAAAAAAAAAGCATAAATCTCCGAGAAAGCTGTGAACTTTGCCGCCAGTTTTTATTTCGAGCGCGAACCATGGGCCAGGAAACTGGGCCAAGGGTCGATATCTCTCCCAGTGAGAGAGTGCACATTGGTCACAGAACAAAATCAGCTCGGTGTCGCAAACCTCGACGGCCTCTGTGACCTCCTCAGACTCAGGTGACAAAGTTTTTTTTTTTTCCACCAAAGCTCCAGTGCCTCAGTAAGCACTGCTGTCAGCTGACAAAACGCCTTTTTTTTTTTTCATTTTGAAGCGAAAATTTTTTATTTGCTAAATCGATAGTCTAACCTGTAACCTAACTTGTGTGAAAATATCAAAGTGAAAATGTGACTAGTTTTTGAATAAATTAACATTCAAATTTCGGAAGAACGCCTTTTTTAAATGGTTACGCTGACAAAACGCCTTTTTTTAAGAGTTCGCTGACAAAACGCCCTTTTTTTCGCCGCGGCTTTGGAAAAGAGGTGTTCTGTCAGCAAACTCTGTTCAAGGGGAAAGCCGACAAAACGCCTTTTTGTTGTCTTGTTCCATCACTGTAACAGTGATTCTCGTCTTGAGTATGATCTCCCCACGCCCCCCCC